TTTTTTTAAGATTAATTTATGCATACGAAACTGGGGTACAGGCCAGAGGTTCAGGGGCGGTGAGAGGATTCACCACAGAAAGAGTGGGGAACAGAACAGGCAGACTGACAAAGTACACTGTTGAGGGGAGCAGTGGGCAAGACAGGAGAGGTCTGCCACACCATGAGGATGACCTCCAGGACATCAGAGGAATATCCTATCTTCAGTCTTGTATGTAACTAAGAGCAAATGGGAGAGTACATTTATAAAATAGAGATCAAAGTATTGGAGCAGGAAAAAACATCAGTTATTTCATTCTGAACTTAGAGTAACCTGGTCATAATATTTCTCATCACAATTGATAGCAGCTAACAAAAATGTTAATTTTTCCATCAGTTCTGAACAACATGAAGTACTCACAGGTGAAACTTTACACTTATCAACACGAAGGGATAGGAAACCAACTAATTATTAAATTTTCTCAATTAGCAAATAAAAAAATCAGTGAATATGGTCAGACTGATGACATCATTTACTCTAGGTTTGCATATAATTACAAAAAAATATGAACTTGTATCATAAATCCTTTCAATGGCCCACTTGTCTAAGTTAAGCACATTCAACTATCCCATTGTTGCCAACTCAAGAAAATGTCATTGTAATTTTAAAGTGCCTTTGGAGCTTAGAAATTTAGTTTTCATATAAGTAAGCCAAGCAGTTTTTTGTTTAATAATGTCTGCAACTAACAGAATACTTCTCTGTGGTTTTAGATTAATAAATGGACATTTCAAGTGAGCTTTTATTTCACTGTGATTTAAATTCACAAGAATCTTCACTAAGAAGAACTCACTCTAAGGTGTATTTTTATATCTGAAATATAAAATCAAGTTGCTAACACTACATTTTTCACTGCACACTTACATGTAAAGTTTACTTATAGAAATGAAAAACACAAAAATGTTGATTCAAAGAAAAGAACTTAAAATAAGAATAGGCATCTGCAAGGGAAAATCCAGTTCACACCAAACTCCATGGAAGGCAAAATCCAATGACTTTTGCAAACATTCTGGTAGTAAAAAAAAAAAAAAAAAAA